GGGGTAGGAAATCCAGCGCCTCATTCGCCTTCTCAAGGATGGCGACTTCCGTGAAGACGCCACCATCTCCCATCGGAAAATCATCAACTAACACCTGCCGCGCCCGGATACTCTCGCGATCCGCGACACTGAGCTGTGTCGCGCGCGTCGCGTTTGGGAAGGTTGCGCGTGCCGCCGCCGCATAGGAGAAGGGAGAAGATGCTGGGAACGACTCACCGGGGCCGATGCCCATGCTACCCGCGCTGCGTGCTTCTCCTACTGCAGTTGCTATCTTCTCGCTCATACTGTCTCCTACTCGGGTGAGCTCGCTTGTGAGCTCCGTGATCTGCTCTCCGGCGGTGGTAAGCCGCTTCTCGAGCGTGCCGACCAAAGTCGTAGCCTGTGCCTCGAACTCTGTAAGTACAGCTGTTGTGAGGGAACTACTCACCGCGTTATCCAGGACTGCCTTAGCATAGACCGCTAGCGCGATGCAGCACTCGGACGCCCAAGCAACGTTTCCGAGACTCACTCCTACGTGTTGGAGTCCTGTGACCAGTCCCTCAGCTGTGGGGTCTCCTGCGGCAGGGACCATCTGGTGTTTGCGTAGTATCTTCATGGCGTCGTCCAACGACTGGATCTTCTCCGATGCCTCTACAAAGGACTCCGTGGATGTCGACCGGAGGTGCCTGGTAGACGATGCACCCATCGGATGGGTAGCCGGTGTCTTCTTCGCTCGCGTAGCAACTAGTGGCGATGCTGTCGCACCTCGTCTGTTAGGTTCCGGTGGCATTTTATCACTATGTTGTTCTTAAAGTATGTTTTGTACGCTAGTATGTCGCCCAGAGAGTAACTGACCGCACGTCGTAGCCCGCTCCTATTGGCTTACGACCGTGGGAAAGTCGCCACAGGTGGTGGTACGAGATTAAGGAGCGTCCACCTCAGCAATTGAGGGCGCGTGGCTTGGCATCAGTCACCCATGGTGGCCGAGTTCCGTCAGGGCGTACGAGGAGAGAGGTCGTCCATCTTCCCGAGACTCCATATCTGTGAATGCCGGGTGCTCAAACGCGAGCGTCGTTTGAACAGTAAAGTCCGCGTAGTGAGTAGACGAGGCTTGAGCAGCCGCCTCGCGAAGATTGAGTAGTACACGAGTGCACAGCGCACTGTGTACGACCCGGAGAGGCCTGCAGGTGTACTGAAGTAAGTACATGGAGGTTTTGAAGCATATAACACTCAATGCTGACATCTGCATCGAATATGAGAGTTCTCGCTGTTGGTAGGGCAGTCAGTCCCGTTTGCATTCAGGATCTGCTTGACGACGAGACCAGGACTTACCGGCGCAAAGAACATCATGAGGAAGTTGACAACAGAGAAAGCTACAGTAGAGCATATCAGAATGCGCCTACCGGTGGGCCTATCCGGTGAACTGACCGAGAACGGCTGCCCAAAAACAAGTTCCTGGGAACCAGACAAGTCAGAATCAAAGTCATGCAGCTGATAGTATAATCAGCTCACCGTCACGGTACATAGTCGGAAGAACGACACTGGCGAAGGAACTCTCGGCTGCAGTTGATAAGCGTCGATTATTAGGCTGATTGTTCCAAGGCCGGTACTCACTGATAGCAGGATCGACGTATCGTTTCAGGACAGTCAGGATGACGACCACTGCAGGACATGTCAGCAATATATGGAAGCCGGTCAATCGATGCTTACTTGTCTCGCTGCATATCAGATAGGTGTAAGCCGGCCAAGCGTCCTGGTCATTGATATTGGGCATGCATCCAACCGCTCGCGTTATGTTCTGATTGGCTAGAACTATAGGCGACCGTCAGTTCGGACCTGACGAGCTCAATGATACGCACGAAGAAGTTTACACCGATTAGAACGCAGCATATCGTACAGAGTATAAGCGGAATGCGGCTGTCATAGGAGACTATTGGCAGCTTCTTCGTGGAGAGAAGGGCGGTAACGGCTTACGACCATCATGCTCGAGATGAACAAAGTAGAGCATGTCAAGTGTTTGTCGAACGCCCAAAGCGCATGCGTCCTCAGGATCAAGATGACTGGCAGAATCACAAATCGTCACTGAGCTATGCTCACTGGAAACGTGCAGACGCACATTCAGATACGAGCGTTCCAATGAAGTAGCTATCTACAATGAAAGTATAGTCAGTCATCGAAGCGCTCGACACAACGTCGATACATACACGTCAGAGCTTGGAAGTATATCGCACACATCTGCGATAAGTGGCTTATCAGCTAGGAGGGCATGATACTGTGGAGGTTTGGTTCGAACGTGAGGCTCTCGAGCGATCATATCAACTACTAGCAGTTCAGAAGAGCATAGTCGTTGACCGATCTAGATAGACATACCCAATACGATGAAGATAAAGTCCAGGAGAGGCGAATACTTGTTGACTAGGAAGATCACCTTCATGAAACTCCTCCTTGCAGGCCATATTAAAGAGATCTAAGGAGTTGCTCAGCATTGGACGCGCGTGTCTTCCACTTTTCGATTACAGTCGTCAAGTACCTCATCTGGGAGCGTCGAAATGATCTCCAGGATCTGGGATGTGATAGGTTAATTGGAATCAAAGTGCCGTTGAACTCCACTCACGGAGCATGTCAAAGCTGCGACTGAAAGTATAATGTTCGGCTCATTAAGGGGCTCCAGAAAGAAAGGAGTGCAACGAACGCGCACATTGCAGATACTGTAGCATCATGAGCAGGTATCGGGCACAGATAGTAGCCCAGAACGCACCTTGTTGACCTGATAGAGATATAGATCGCCGGCTTCCGGGAGGATTACGGCCAATGCGGGGGCGGCAACAGTCGTCATCGTAGCTTTGGAGGGAATAGCTCCAATAATCCAAGCATATCCGTAGGGCACACGACGAGCGGGACTACTTATGCTGGGTGAACCGGGGAGGGTTGGCTGCCGGCATGAAGATCAACAAGCTGCATCAGACTATAAAGATGCCGCGAGGAGACAGGGAACATCTGCCAGAGGAAGATCAGGGAGTAGAACATCTAAGGGAAGTTAAATGGTCGGCTGGATGAGGCGTCAGCATGATCAGGTTCTAGATAATCTCTCCTATCGCCACATACTGCTGAGAGGAACACATCCTTCAAGAAAGATGATCAAAATGGAGCTTGCGTCAGTTTCTATGTCATTGTTTGAAAGGGAAGCAGATAACCGAGCTTGTCTCGTGCGAGTATTGTTGTGATAGTTGACACGGTGCTCAGCCGAAGGCCACGGGACACAAGTCTGGAAGAAACGAGCACATATTGGTATGTGAAAACATGGTCACAGCGTGCCCCATATGATCCTGTCGCCGCAACATGGTGAAGCGCTTCGCGAAAGCAAGCGCCGTCGATTCGGAGGGACGCGTCATGCTTTTCCCAGGGACAAGCGTCTAAGCTGCCGCATTTCTGCTGACGATCACCGACGCCTCCGACACTTATTCATGAAGGTCACGTACTCTGGCCTCGGATATTCCACATAGGATCCCCTTGACCGACTTGTCGTTCATTAGGGTGTTACCTGATAGAGCTTTGGTACCAGTACTGGTCCCCGGATCACACTAGTACTGCCAGGCTCTTAGTTCGGCAGCCACTGCGATGTGCTAATATAGGGTACTAGTAGGACTACCTCTCCTGAGTCTCACGATGCGACTGCCAAATGATCAGCCTGTGAGCGTGCATTGTGTGGCGCATGCATGGGACGGAGGGCGCAAACACCTTCAACGAATGAGAGCAATGGTAGAGGTCTAACAATGGTACATTAAGGTACTTTTATAGGTATCCCGAAGCAAGGATGAGGGCGCCGGCTCTCGAGGCTCTTATACCTGGTGAAGTATATCCTGAAGCTCAAAGTTCTCCGTATGCGGCGTCGAATCGTCCGACTCCTCTGTTGCGGAGTACTCCGGAAACGGCTCCAGAGCTAGGGTGGTCAGGAAATCGAGATCTTGCTGTGTAGGAGATGCTTTCGCAGCAACCTTGCGAAGGTTGAGGAGCACCCGCGTACAAAGTGCGCTGTGTACTGTGCGAAGTGGCCTATGAGAGTTTCAATGAGTGCACGGAGTGTGAGAGGGCTTGCAGAACGGTGAATGCACACGCACATCTGCATCGAGTACGACAGTTCTCTCTGTATCGTAACGGGGACCGTCTTAAGATTTTGTCGTACAGGGGGTATAAGGAACTCACAGGTGCCAAAAACATCATGAGCATGTTGACTCCGGAGAGCGCTAAGGCGCCGTAATGTCGGGTGAGTATTCGTCCCTGGTGCTAGACGTAACGAGACCTACCAAGCACGATTGCCCAAAAGCAAGTCCCTGCGACGACCGAAGAACCGTCTTTAGTATATCAATTCGGGCAAACAGAGTCCTGGCTCAAGCTCACCATCGCGATACATCGTACGGAGCACCATGCTGGTATAAGACTGATGTTCATCTGAGAGCAATCATCAGGACTCGGACGAGTCGTCAAGAGATCGTACATACTAAGTGCGACAGGATCCAAGTAGCGCTTAAATAAGGTCATGATAACAACCACTACAGGTTATTTTCAGTATCTCGTAGACGGCCGCACCAGCTCGCTTACTTGTTTCAGCGCAAATGAGATATGTGAAGGCCGGCCAAGTGCCTTCATCCTGGATTGGAGGCATGCATCCGAATATTCGTACCACAAGCTCGGCAGCTGAAACTGCCATCGCACGTCACCAGAAGCTGAGATGCAGATACCAAGCCTACGCACAGTTTGCCGAGTTTTGCTTGAGCATGTCGTAAGAGACGTAATAGGCATGGGGCTGGTGGGAAGGGGTAGCGTTCATAGCTGATCTCGTCGCAGACAAGAATGAAGAAACTCACAATCATCATCAACGCTACAAAAATGATGTAGTAGAGCATATGTCGATCGCACGCCCAAAGGGCATAAGTGCGGACGATCAAGATGACTGCAGGAAAGGACCTCATCAGTATGGTGCATTCTAGTGCACCGCGAACGTACACTCGGAGAACAGAGTCCCAGTGAGGTAACAATCTGTGAGTATGGTAATCAGATAGCGAATACGTATAAGGAGGGATGTCGCTCACACACCAGCACTTTGAATCGCAGGTCGCACGACTGAGACCCAAGGCAAGCCAATGGTTAGCAAGCAGGCAACGACGCTGAATAAAAAGCTAACGCTAGGCGAGCGCGAGGCAAAATCCACTGGGAAGTCGTTAGTACATTAATAGTAGAGGAGAGACTGGTCCGGTCCATACCAAGCATCAAGAGTAGGAAATCCACGGAGGGCGAGTACTTGTTGACCAAATATACGGCCTTCATCACACTCATGTTAGTAGGCCATATTAAGTCGATCTGCGAAGATCGCCTATGAGCAGTCATCTAGTAGTACTAATTTTGAGTCTGCGCACCTCATCCGGGAGGGTCTCGAGCATCTCGAGCACCTACGTCACGAACATTCAGCTGTTAGCGCTTGCACTGATGGACAGGGTCTGCATACCAAGACTATAAACGAGGCAACTTGTGGGGCTAATGTCACCCTCCGCCCGCGTGTGCTTTCTCGTAGCATTGAGCTCACCCTGAATATGCTATCAATGCGTCAGCCGAAACCCAGGGCACATGGAAGAGCCGGACGAAGACGACAAACCCTATGGATCTGCCAGAGATAGAGGTTGCCCGCTTCGGCGAGGGCTTGACGTAGCTTGTCAGGAGTCCCGTTATCCATCCACGAGCGTCACGGCCAGAGTCGAGGTATCCAAAGATACTCTCACTCGAGCTGGAGGACTCGCAACATATGAAGGAGATATGTCTTCAAGAGAGGAGAGAGCACCTTGGACTTCCAATGCCGAGTTGGTGCACGGCTTGGCGGGCGGTGAGAATTCCGATGCTTCGAAGGTAATTAATCGGAGATTGGAAGTCATGCGAGGATCTGGGGAGGAGATTACTGTACAGGCGTCTCATGAAATAAATCTCCGAGCATAGAGAGGCGCACTAAAATGCGCATGATGCAGGCTACATACACATGGGTAAAATGTGTGGCGGACACCGAAAACATCGGGTGTCGCAATGTCGTAATAATGCATGTCCTGGATTGCTGCTATCCCCTGACTGATAGATGAGTTATCTGAGGCTAGAGGCTAGACAGTGACGTAAGACTAGCTTTCAAGGACTTAGCATAGGCGGAATCCGTGGCGGTACTTGGTGGTATCGGTAATGCCTTCGCCCCGACACCCATCCGGGGTTTTGAAGCGCTCGGAAGCTGTGCCTAGCACTGAGGCTCTATGTCAACGCCCATGGACTGCAGAGCCTATCGCTGGTTGTACCCTGAATGTGCCATAGCAACGAGGTTGTACTTTCGGTGGTGACAGGAGGGATTGCTGACCACTTGACATGACCAAGCATGCCCGCGGTGAAGGTAAGTCAGCGAGCCAAGTGAGTCTTTCAGTCATTGGTCAGATTATAGAAGTCCCTACGTTACAATCGGCCTCAGTACAAAGACGCAACCTCTAGGTCCACTCGCTACCGTCGCCCCCGCCCGCTTCCCACTCGTTCTCGTCACCTGCTCCCGTGTCTTGGAACCCGCGCTCAAGATTAGCTTCTGCCTCTATGTCGTCTTCTGGGGGAAGCTGCGCCATGACCGTGTTCATGTCCTCGGCGAGGGCCTCGCGAAGCTCATCCGCGTAGTCCGCGTCTGCGTCGACAGGAGCGTTGACGTCCCAGGTCGGGTCATCCCCGCGCCAGCCATGATTAAGATGGACGTAGTTCATAAACTCCCGCCATAGTGGATCTATGGAGAGGATGGCAGCGTCGCCGATTACAATGAGGAGCGCCTTGGCGCGGGTCATCGCGACTGAATGGACGCGACGTTAGTGCACCGGCATCGATGGCTCGAGCACGTTGCCAGCTCACCGTTGAACCGCCTGGCATTCGAGAGGAACCCAAGTGCGAACCTCGCATCATAGGCGAGCAGGTCCGTGCTGCTACGCACTGTCGACACGATGATCACCTTCCGCTCCTGCAAAGACCTTGATTACCATTTGCTGCATTCCGCAAAATGAGGATGGACGAACCTGGCCTTGGAACTCTTCAACGCTGCCGACCTTCACGTCGACGAGGTCCGCATTCCGGAGAAGCTGACGGATTTTTCGGACTTGTGCGTGGTACGGCGTAATGACGCCAATCTCGCTAGCCTCTGCTGTATTGGTTAGAGCACAACGATATAACGACTCAGAGCAGCCGACACGCACGGACACGACGCTCCCGAAGGAGGGAGACAACATATGCCTTGACCTGTACAGCCTCGTCGATGTTGAAGTACGAGGGCGATGACGCCTCGCGGTCGTTCGTCCCAGAGATGGCGTGGAACACCACAGGGAAGTCGGGAGAGACAAGGTGTGGGGAGCCGAGGAATGCGTCGATCGTGGACGTGTGGCCGCATACTTCAAGTTCGCTGTTGTAGAACTTCTCATTTGGATACCGCAAGATGGCGCCATGCGACCGGTAGTTCTTCACGAGCTTGACGAAGCTGTTTGGATGTGTCATCAGTTGATTCCAATTACGACGAAGCTGTGGGACGTACGACAAACCCCGCCCATGCTCGGCGCTGTAGAGAGGCAGATCCATGAGCCTCTCGAGATAACTTGTCTCCAGTCCCAGTCGACGCGCGAGGCTCGACCGGATGACTGGTCCAAGCTGCTTCGGATCCCCAGACAAAACGATGCGAGTGCTCTCGGCCGACAAGGGCTTGATGGCCGTGAGTATCTCAGGCTCGGACGCCTGTCCCGCTTCGTCGACGAAGATGTGAGTGAAGTGTCCCACCGGCATGCCGATATTGTACGCAAATGACGCATTGTTGCAGGTCGAGACGATGACCTTGAATCGCATCAGCGTATCCATCTGAGGCAGTGTGTAGACGTTCCCCGGACGATGACAGTATGCATTCAGTTCTGGGGGGACCGAGGCCGGAACGCGCGCCGCGGCATTGCAGCGGAACATTTCTTCTGGGGACAAGGTGAGAAGTCGCAGCGCGAGGATGTCTGCCGCGCTGTTGCTAGGCGCACAGGCGAGAATCCTCGCGTTGGGCTGCTGATCGAGCAGCTGGTGAATGGCCTCAACAATGGTCACAGTCTTTCCTGTCCCGGGTCTGTAAAGAAACGCGTCAACAATGCCCCTGAATATCAGATAAGATGCACTCACGGGCCAAACAAGATGAAAGGCGCCGAACCAGGCCTGAGCTGTGTGATCGACTGAACAGCAATAAGCTGAGGAACGTTATTTCCGATGGAACTGTTGAAAAGAATCCGGCGAGAGTCGACGCCCGAGACGGGGGTTTCCAGCCCTTCTTGACCAGGGTTCGGGAAGAGAAGTCGTTGTGGTGAAGCGTTCTTCGCAACCAGTGCTTGGTGTTGCCGCCGGAGCGGTATTCGGTTCAACTGGAAGCCGACATTGAAGCGTTGTCCTGCTCCGGGGAAATCGGGATGGAAAGAGACGAGGACGTCTTCTTGGCGAATCTCGTGTACAAGGCCTCTGAACGTGGTGCCTACCCCGGCTTGTTGTGCGAGGATGGCGTCGCCTGGGATAGACACGATGAACAATGCGTGATCACGACGCTATGGGCTGCTCTTACCGATTGAGACGCTTGGTCGCCCTTCCGCGAGACCGTGAACATGCAAGCTTGGATATACATCATTATGTATTCTTATGTTGACGGATATGTGCATACCTCCATAGTCTCCCGTCCTTCTCGAACTCAACATCCTGCTTATCATACACCCTGAGATCCTCCCTACGCAAAGACATGAGCCAATGACTTCGCAGATAGATCTGTGTGCTCACACCATCCGAGCCTCTTCAATCCACAAGAGGTTGGCAAAGAAGACCTGGTGATTGTCCAACGCTAGAGGCTCCGGGAAGTACTCCTCAGAAAGGCGTTCATGAATGTCAGGGTAAGACCCCGACCGCAGGAGCTCAGCGAGGGGCACTGGGATGCTGAACGGAAGCAAATCCAGGGACCACGTCTGAGGGAGGATCCTCGGAGGGGCATCGCCTGAGAGGACCAGCTTGTTGTACTCCCAGCTGACACGGGGTGCACGGGTGTAGGGGGCGACTGGCTTTAACGACTCGCGCTCAGTGGACTCACCAACTACGGCGAGCAGTCTCCGCGCGATTATGAACTCCCGCCCAGTTGACGTTTGGAACATGAGCTCGAGGCGAGCCTCATACCGTCCCAGCTGGCCGTGTTGAAACACAATGGGGACCTGCAGGTCCGAGTCAGGGTAGAGCGGAGAGTTGACTGTAACTTCCGTCTTGAAGCTGCCCAGGTTTTTAGATGAGATACACAAGGGAGAGCGAAGGTGAAGCACTTACCAGGCGATATGACTTCGCACACGAGCACGGACTCTCACATGGACGAGAGTGACAAGCTTCAGTGAGGACACAGAGAGCTGTACGCGCAACTCCCCCGCACCGGCCTGTTCAAGGTTGACGACACCGAAGTCGACACCAGTCTCCGCGTGCGAAACGCTGACCCCTTGCTTGTCGCTCTCCGCGAGTTCGTACGCTGCCCGAAGCGCGGCCAGTTGTTGGTGTTTTCTATGGGACTCTCCAGAGATATGGGCGGTCCACTCCGTCGCGTTCACTACCATGGCACAAGGAGGGCAGCGGACCGACTGCGCCTTGACAAATGGAAGCGGCGCGACCTTGGCGGTGTTTGCGAGGTGTTGTCGGCCCCGAGTATGCGAGTCGTAATTGGAGGCCGGGGAGCAGATGACTACGCACAGTTCGCATAGACGGACATCATGTTCTCCGAGACACGACGCGTCTTCGCATGGACCTCCGCCGTAGAGAATGTTGGGGCAAAAGTTTTTGCTTGTTGTCACAGCCATGGGAGGAAGAGTGGTCTTCGGCGCTGGTACGAGCAGAGACTTATAGAGGGACGTATCTATTCATGCACAAAGAGCGCAATCGACTGCTTGACCTGCCCAGGCCCCGCCTCACCTACCGCAGCACACATGGCTGAGCAGCTGAAGCGAAGCACTCAGCGCAGTGGTACCAAGACCAGCCACCAGATCTAGCCGTCAGAAGATGCGTGCATTGAGAAACGGTAGGGTGAATAGACAGAATAGGATATCGGAAGCACACTGCACGCCTGCGGTACATAGGGTCGTGCCACAGCCAGAGGGACAAAGATTGAAGAGCAGTGGTAGTCGACCGCAAGGGAACGCCAGTCATCAGGCGCCCATTGACCGTCTACGGAGCTTCAGTCGATCGAGCCAGTCGCGGTAGCACCAAGATATGTGCTGCAGAGCGATAACCGTATCGTACACCCGGAACAAGTTTGTGACGCCCAGTAGTACAACCGAAACCCAATATCAACGCTGTCCAGGGTAAGCAGCACAAACCTCGTCCAGTAGAAAACCCTGAACTAACGAAAGTCCGGAGACAAAGGAAAAGGCGTCTCGGGCAAGTCCATCCTCACCGCCCTTATCTCTCCCGCAGCCACTACCGCGCGCTGCGCGTGCACGATCTTCATGCTAATGTGCCTCTCATCGTCCACCTCAGTCTCAGATCCCGCGTTTGCGCTCGCAGGCACGGTAGCTGAGGGGCGCATCGACGCCCACTCACCCCATGCGCTGTCTCGGATGCGGTACATCTGCGACGTCGCAGACGACGGCGCGGGGGAGGTTGTGATCGTCATGCCGCCAGACCCTGCGCCGGAGCCAGAGCTCACGTAGCTGCTGTGCAGCGAGTTCGGGGGCGGCGTGTAGAGGGCAAGCGCCGTGGGCATAATCCGATACCGTCGCGTGTGAACTGGCGAGGACGTGGATGTCGTCGATGGAGGCGGAGGGGACGAAGGGGACGAAGGGGGGCGAACGGAGATTGCTGGTGCCGCAGTCGAGGTGGCGTGGGCAATTGTGCTGAGCACGGCGAGCGTGAGACTGCGTTGCGACTCGACCTCTGCGTCCATGGGGGAGCGAGAGTCCGAGGCAGGGGGTTCGACAACGTCCGACGCGATGGACAACATCGCCGAAGCATACATACTGCGCGGTGGCCAAGCAACCCCGGACAGGAGTTCGAGTTCTTGTCTTTGATTATGATGATCAGCCTTCTCTTCGTCTGACGAGATCGACGGCAGGCGGGAAGCAATGTCGAATCCCTGGTTCGTCGCCTGGCCGGACTTGAGGAAGCCCAGACGGTAGAATCGCAGCGGCGAGCGACGTTTGCACAGGCGGTACACCAAGAACCCTGCGACCGCAAAGAGCGCAGTGCCCCCCACGAGCCCCCCAACGATCGCCCCCGTCTGCTCCGTGATGGTCGTCTGCGATTGAGAGACGAGGGGAATGACGGCGGGGCTCGGGGTCGGGCCTATAATGTCGCGGACAGCGGTGGAGACGAAGAGGTCGGAAGTAGGTAGGGTCGAGACATGTGTCGTGAAGGGAGGGGCGGGGGGAGGTGGGACGGAGAGGCAGGAGGTGTTCATGCCGACACCGACGAAGAACTCGGGGGATGCGACGGAGAACCCGTTCCCCGTAGCGTGTAGCTTGTAATAGCCCGAGGGAATGTCAACGATCGGCCAGGTAAATGTGAGGTCGGTCGAGTCGAGTCCTGAGGCGACGACGAAGGACGTTGTGTCCTCTCGTCGGGTCTGGGAGACACTGGCGAGGGGGCGGATCTGGAAGGGATCAAAGTCGTGTACGACGAGTGTGAACGGCCTCTGAGGGCCAGTGTACCTCCACTTGATCGTCATGGATGTACACGTTAAGCAATTAGGGACAACTGTGAAGGAGAACGGTTGTATGGGCGTAGGCCGGGTCGTAGGGGCCGAAAGGGTTGTCGAGCAAAGAGGGCAGCCGACGGGATCTGGGGTGAACATGCTGGTGGTCCATTAGGGATACGAACGAAAGGGAGGAGGCCCGCCTCAAAAAGTGCCTGGCCTGCGCTGATGACTCAAATACAGCCGAATAATGGGAGTGGGACCGTGGAGGATGCTACTGAGTTACAGGCAGAACCACTAGAGAAGACGAGAACCCTGCGTAAGTGGCCGGGTCCCCCGTGATGATTGGTTACCACTACTTACCTGTTCACACTGCGCGCCACGGCCATCGCAACTCTCAACACACATAGCTCGGCAGAGTGGGATACATCTACCATCTGTCCACGATCCGTCAACTAGCCACTAGTACATTTAACCTGAATAGAAGTGTAGCGTGGGTGCCCATGCACCCGGGGAGACACGATGAAGAAAAGAAAAGATACAGCTACGCGAATACAAGTCCGCCACCAAGAAGTAGCTACATCATGAGAAGAGCTTGTTAACCGAGGTGTTCCCTTCCTGGTTCTTCTTCAAAACCTGTGTACAATTGTCGTCAGTTATGCGACCAACCAAGACGTGCTCTGCAACACGAACCTTCGCAACGGCGAACTCAAAGTCTTCCTGCGTGACGTGTTGCCTGCGCTCACGCAGCGCGTACATCCCAGCCTCTGTGCAGATACCGCGAACCTCGGCACCAGAGCACTGCCCCATCTTCTCCGCCAGTGCACGCAGGTTGATACCACGCTGCAGCGACATCTGTGGGGAAACGGTATTGTAGCGAAAGCGTGAACGGTGCCAGAACGTAAACGCACCTTTCGAGAGTGAATGCGGAGAATGGCAACTCGCGCCTCAGGGCCCGGAGGAGGGAACTCAATCTTCCTATCAATCCGACCAGGCCGAAGGAGGGCCGAGTCAAGGATGTCTATCCGATTCGTAGCCATGATGACCTTGATGTTCTTCGTCGACTCGAACCCGTCCAGCTGGTTCAGCAGCTCCAGCATCGTCCGCTGCACCTCCGAATCGCCCCCACCCGAACCGCTCTCCCCTCGCGACGAGCCGATAGAGTCGATCTCGTCCATGAAGATGATACTCGGGGCGTGCTCGCGCGCCATGACGAAGAGCTCGCGGACCATGCGCGAGCCCTCACCGATGTACTTCTGCACGAGCTCCGAGCCCGAGACACGGATGAACTTGCAGTCGGTGTGATGTGCTACCGCACGCGCGAGGAGTGTCTTTCCGGTACCTGGGGGACCGTAGAGAAGGACACCCTTGGGCTGCGCGATACCAAGGGACTCGAAAAGTTCGGGGTGCTTGACGGGCAGCTCGATAACCTCCTTGATCTCCTTGATCTGCTTGTCGAGACCACCGACCATCTCGTACGTGCTATCCGGCACCTTCTCAACCATCATCAGGGAGACGAGGGGGTCGACCTTGTTAGGCAGAATCTTGTGAATTGTGTAGGAGTCAGAGCGGAGGGCGATGCGTAGCGAGGGTGTGAGCGAGGCGACGTCGATCTCCGAGTCGAAGTCAACGACTAGGTAAGATCTTGAGCATATAGACATTGATCAGGAAGTTGAAGACGCACTGTATTTCCCCTCCGGCTGGACCTTGACAAGAACTTTGTTCTTCCCCATGACCTTCACAACCTCTCCCACATAGCTACCGGGTTCGTGCAACAGCTGTAGCTCCTCCCGTAGCAGTCGCACTGCATAGCATTCAATCTGAGTCTCTTATTTTGCATAGACCGACATTGGTGACAGACCTCTTGCGTTGAGTGCATTCCGTTGCGCCTCCAGCCGCCGCAAATTCTGGGTTTTCTGATTGATCTCAAGTTCGGCAGCCTCAATCTTGGCCTGGTAGTAGGACGAGAGTCCAGAAGATGGAGATGGAGTAATAATGGTGCCAGGCATAGTGTCAGACGAGGCGGGCGGGGGGATGCAGGATGCGGTCGACGACGCAAGCGGCCTCGCACGCGACCCCAGGTGTACGCGTCCTCTGTGACACACCACGTGATACATACCGCTGTGACGCGTTCAACTCTCGCCGCTAATTTAGCGCTAGTTGCTCAACGTTTCAACGTCAACTTCGATCATCAATGATCCTCTTCAGTCCAGCCTTGAGCCTGCTAGCCCTGCCAGGTTTGAAATTACAAGACTCCGGACGCGTACATTCTCACCTCTTTGTCTATTCCTTTGGCAGAGACAGAGAGTTACACTGCTTGCGGACATTGGGCTCTGTATCCTCCTCGCCCTTGCTTGCAAACGGCAAACTCAACCATTTGTCGGAGTCACGTTAAGAATGTCTTGTGTTGTCAGACGCTTTCGGCGACATTATCATGTTGTCCATCTAGCTAGAATCATGTCCACCGAATCCAGATTACACAGCCTGTTATGACTCTTTCGACTTCCGAGTCTGCGTCATCTCCCTGAAGCGAAAGCGGGGCCCCAAGTGTAGCAGTGAGATTGCGTGTACTTTCCGTGACGGTAACCTGGTATGCAACTTTCCCAGTGACATTTCGACAGTCACTGTGGAGGGGGGTAGAGTAGTTGATGGTGACTCACTGACCGATGTCAGGGTGAATGCGACGTGGAAGGCAGATTAGAAAGAGCAATGTTTATTAGTTTCGCAAGTAGGAAATTCAGGCTGTTGCTGCTTCGAGTAGGAACATGCCCACTCAAGACAGCCAGCGCGCAATGATCAACTAGACTTTCCGAGCTGTGCTCTTGAATTTAGTCGCCTGCGTGCAGGAAAAGGTTGGGACGCACTTCGTCTCAGTCACAATGGCGGCCTGAACATCCGAGTCAGCAGACATCTTATCACGGTGCCGGACGAGGAGAGGAGACCGTGATACTAGTCTTTATGGATCTGGTCAACCAAGGGTGTCCTATTGATTCTCATGAGCAGGGACGCACCCTAAATTTTCACATTCCCGAATGTGCTCGTTCAGTTATTTAGTTAACGATCCGAACACTTTGACCGCTGGACATCGGCGGTAGGTTCGCCGACAACATATCGGGGATTCGAGTTGAATAGCTAGGATGAGCATATACGTCAGTGCTTTGTACTAAGAACATCCTGTCACAAACGTCTAAGTATATGAGTATGTTCACAGATCGCCCAGCTTTGTACGCAAGAGCCAGCAGCCGTAGTTTCTTATACGATGACTGGGCGCCGTGTCCTCAGTTGAGCGGTATTCATGATGCTACGTCTTGGCTCGGCGCTGTACTGCGCCGCCTATGACCAAATAGTGTACTAATAGCAAGTGATCAAGACAGTGGGGCGCCACAGGCGACGTTGCAAATGTATCGTGATAGAGCTCGGGCTGTCTTCGAGCCATGCGGGTCGACACGTGCTCTGGCTGATCGACGACCTACGAATGAGAACGTTTGGAGTCAGAATCATGGACCAGATCTTCCTCGCAGACCAGACCATCTGACCTTCCACAGCGCTACTGCTCAGGGTGGCATCCAGACGATAGCGTCGGAGACGGCCGCCTTGAGCTGCGACGTCCGCGTAAGGCATTTCAACGTCAATCGTCTGCAATAGACTGCACACCCTGACAGTCATTAGGACCGTATGACACGAGGTGACTCCGACCACGCGTCTAGAACCAACGCAGCATGACTCCAACCGGCCCGAGAGACATGCAATAGCCCCGTACTGCCTCCCCAGCGGCCGCAGAGCGCAGCTGCGGTATCCTCGTCCTCGTCTGTGTGAAGGGCGATCCAGGGCGTTATCTGATATTCGCTCAATGAGTGCCCGCCCGACCGTGGGGACGATGTTCTCACCGATAGGCTTCAACGGCGTGCCCGCCTGCGCTGTGGCGTCAGCAGATCACTCGGTTTACCCGACAGTGCGGGGAAGCGCTCTCCCTCAATGCCGATAGCATCTCGACTCTCGCAAGCTTGACGGGGGCGTCGATGCCATACGGCGAGCTGGGAAGACGAACCGGCGTTCTGGAGGCTTGGGCTGCCTTCTCTGGTGCGGTTCCTGTGGCACGCCAGCCGAAGGTTGCGGCGCCCCACACTTTTAGGTCTTAGCCTGGGCCCAAGTGTCTGCGGGTATCGGAGAAGCCCATGGCATATCAATTTCGGCTGCTTATTTCGTCATGTGCGAATTGGGGCGCAAAATGACGATTGAGAGCGTGCATAACGCAGGGCCGGAAGCCGTTCTTGTAGAAGCACTGATGAACTGACTGGACGCACCTTCCAGACGATCTGAGAAAAGACGAAACATGGTAAGACGCACGAAAGGGGCATGGAGGCATGAGGCGTCGAGGAGTTGAATGGCAAAAGCCTGGGGGAAAAGGTGATAGACGGGAGCGAGCAGTGACGAACCGTCGCCCTTCGCAGGCGATGCATGATGCTAAATATATAAGTACAATATCAGCGACTATCGTCGTCGAGTAACTTTTACGTTAACACTATGACCTAACAGAGCTTAGCATCGCGGACAAACGACGTTGAGGGAACAGCGAGAACGTACACGCCGTATTTTTGTTTTAGCTCATGCCACGAAGGCGCAACTGCTGGGAATCGAGACGCAAATTCGTTCATCTCCTGCTCCGGTATGCGATTAAGGTCTACGCGGTTCCAGTATCGCGACATGGCGAAGGTGATTTCTTGTGCGTCCCGTTCAGATCCGCGTCTGCAGAAAGTTTAGCGAATTCCCGAAAGAGCACAAAGGGAAGGCTCCACACACATTGACCACGCCTTGATTTTCGCCCTGATGAACTCTGTGATTGTCAGGAACGGTACCCTCCCCACCATCATTACCGTCGCGCCGTCGAGTCGTCGAGGGCCCTCCTCGCCCGCGGGCAAGATCTCGATCTGATCAGGTTCAGCACAAGGACGGGAAACCGTCGCGGAAGCAAACACTCACGTCGATGGGGGGTATCAGCCGTTGGTATTTCACGTGCAAGCTGTGGCTTGGTGAATCACAGTCGTGGTCGTGGAGCCAAGGAAGGAAGGTTACAACATACCGGTTACTCCAAGGAGAGGCGACGATTAGGAAGTCTTCGTTTCCTGCGCAAGCCTGACGTACGCGACGAAAGGGATGAACCGCCCCACCTTCTACTATGCAGCTTATTTCCTGCTCAGAGGTCAGTATCCTGATGACGTATGCTAGGAGGCGGTACACACATCGGCCAGAGGTGCTTTCGAGAGGACTGCAGTCAACACACTGCCGTAAAACGCATGGGGAACGCCCGCGTCACGTAGCAGCTGTGAGAGCGCCGCGGCGGCTTGAAGCAGGCGAGAGACTTCGTGCATGGTCACGGTGTCAGGCGGAGTGGAGGGCGAGAGGAGAGGGAACGAAGGGTAAGGGCCAAAAGCACCACATCTGACTAGCCAACACGTACAAGTAGTTTCTTCCGGAGTGAATGCCTCGAGAACTCGGGAACGGGGGAGCTGTGCAAATGGGACCGGAAGCCAGATCCGTGGTGTTCAGGGCGTGGGGAACGCCGAAGGGCAGGAGGCTACAACTGATGTAGAGGGACGCGGTGATCTGGGTCTGACGGTAGGAAGACAGGTGGCGAGCGAGGAAGCGACTCGTGTAGTGCGTGTTGGCGAGGGACAAGAGGGTGGCAGATCCAGGCTTTGATCACATGTGCGCAGTGCGTGGGCACGTAACATGGTGGAGGAACGTTGACGAAACAAGATAGCCAAAATGACCTAAGATGCGGAAATCGCCTTGAGACTTTTCCCGCTAGGAGTGCGTCGTGTAATCAGCAAATCAGAGACTGATCGAGTCAGAGCCAGTGGACGTACGCACTGAAGAGCCGGGGTGCCCGCTAGACCATTCCTCTCACTAGAGATAGCGGTCGCACGCGCCTGTATAGCGGCAGAAATGTCCAGGAATACACTTTGGTCATATACGGCCTGCGGGAAGTTACGCAGAGGGAGAGCAGGTGAGGTTTGGTGGTCTTGTCAACATATTCTTATGAACGCGGGAAAGGACCCCACCGAAGAAGAAGGCAACCCCATGAATTCGATTGTTTGTAAACACAAACCAAAGTGGCTCGGGTCCCGTGGATCCCTCGCCCTATGGCGGTGCGGTGGACGGGAACAGGCTTCGCAGTACGCCGTCGACCCTCGGCGAATGACGTCGGCAACAAGGCCCGTGTTCCGGCCATCTCGATCCGCTTACCTAACGGGAGTCTGTGTGGTCATGGGTCCACCATCGGCGCTTGGCAAGCCCTGTGTGTTGAAGCGAACCTGAGCGTTGTCCTCGAGCTCCGAACCTCGAGCCTCCTCTTCCCGGCTACATCAGCGTCGCCATACCCACGTTCGTTTGCGTATGCATACGCTCTTCCTCCAGCTGGCAAAACGCCATGTAACGACCCCACCCAGCCGCGTCTCGCCGACATATACTTTGCCCTGGCCAGCTTCTTCTCAGTTTCTCTTACCCCCTAGAACGTGCTTGGCTGCTCGGAACGCTAGAACGATAACTCTTGCTTCGACCACGCGCACGTCTCGCTCGCCTTCCTGGACATTTCATCCGTGTCATTCGCATCTACAGCGCCGTAACATCAGTGCAAGGTCTCTCTACACATGGATGGAACGCTTGTCCCTCCGAAAGCCGGCTGATCCGCTCGACGAGCCCTCAGACTGCCACGAAGAGGCCGCGAAAGTTGCAATACTGGAGAAAGCTATGAAGGGGCGGCAGCCCGCAGATCTCATGCTGCGATGTGAGTCCAGTGTTGGTCAACTCTGCGGACACGTTCGTTAACCTTGGCAGACCTGAAGGTACAATTCTGGACGCGGATGGTCAGCTGAAGCACTTCGCTCTGATGCCTACGTACTCGCCTAACCTAGGCGTGGTTTGTGTCTTACGTCTGTAGGAAACGTGAAGACCATCTCCGGACAGTTCAGGAGAGCCGAGCTATGTTCCGAGCACCGACTCAACGTAAGTGCCTGCATCAGCCGCCCTCACCCCCTACGCCCCAGCGCGCTGCTAACTGGTCAGCGGGCAGCCGCGTGATCTGCGTAAAATTGATTCACGGGTCCCTAACCTCGTGCCTACGATCTTGGTGCGAAAGGAAGCGATTCTTGTACGTAGATGCTTTCCCTGCCTCCCGCGTCCGTTCAACGAACCCTGGCCTTCTCCGCTTCCTATCCCCGAACCAGGTCAACATACTCCACATACGTGCGCTCGTCAAGGCTGACACCGTCGTGCTGTTTGACACGTATGGTTCTGCCGATTCTCGTCTCCACTCAGTATTCCTTTACCACCTCGAGGTACGTTGGTTATATTCCTCCTGCGACATGTATCCTCATTCCATTGCAGCATAACTTGAGGGCAAAAGTGTCCGGGCTTCCATACGAGTTTCGGTGAGTTTCGTACCGTTGCGTCGTATTCTTTCGGGATCAATTTGAGGCGGCGCTGACCAGACGCGCGCCTCGCCTACAGGGCACTGGAGTCGATACTTCTGTCGGTCTTGAGCGCGCTGGAAGCAGAGATGGTCTTCATCCGCAACCTTGTTGGCGGCCTGCTGGCTGAGCTCGAAGACGATATCGATCACGACCGGTTCAAGCGCCTATTGCACTACTCTCGGCGGTTAGCCAGCTTCCAGAACCGCGCAAAGTTGGTGTGTCTGACATGCGGCCGGCTTGCGTTCTTTGTGCGGCTCATGATCTGCTACTGGTCCACAGGTCCAAGAAGCGCTAGAAGAAGTCTTGGAGCAAGGTGAGGATGCGTGGTTCATTTGCTACGCGCGAATCGGCCTGCTAAACAACCTTCGCGCGCAGATGAGGACCTGGCCGCCATGTATCTTTCGGACAAGAAGAACGGCGTTCCGAGGCAAGCTCACGACCATGAAGAGCTCGAGGTGCTCCTGGAGTCGTTCTCGAAGCAAGTCGAGGAGATCGTCAACGAAGCGGAGAACATCCAGGTGTGTTCTTGCGCGTCACCACTGTCTAGATGCCTGCTTTGCGCAGCTGCTTTTTGCGACCTACACACATTCGTTCCATCCAGCGCCTCTATGGGGCTTCCAAGTTACCAACCCCTGGCTTCTTCGTATCTGACGCCGTATTTGCTGCTGACACCGTTTCCCGCAGTCGAACGTGCAGTCGACGCAGGAGATCGTCGAGCTCATCCTGGATTCGAACCGCAACGCACTTCTGGCACTGGATCTCAAAGTTTCCATCTTGACGATGGGGATCGGCATAGGAACACTCGTCGTCGGCGTATTCGGTATGAACGTAAGTTACCACCAAATTCGACCGCTGTATGCCCTGCCCACGTTCATTGACCATGTCACGTCGTATCGCAATAGCTGAAAAGCCACATCGAGGAACACGAATACGCGTTCTACGTGATGACTGCCGTCTCTTTCGCAGCATTCATCGGTGCTGCGTGGACCGGCGTACGCCGGTACGTCCTCTTCCCCCCTTTGTACCGTATCGAGATAAACCATAGCTGACTTGTTGCTGCCATTGCGTACTCTGCGGCTGTGGTAGACTGTCAAAGATCCGCAAGGTCGGCTTGTCGAACGGCAATCGAAAACGACCGGACAAGCGCCGATATTCGCTGTTCTCCCTCCGGGGGCGGCGATACGAGGGTTGGTAGTGGCGGCAAGCGGCACAGGGCGGTAGCTCTTCCCGGTGTGATTCTCGTGTCCCACCCCTTCCTCGTGTCAATCTTCGCCATCTGTTGTGGCGCGACGTAACCCTACTCCCTCCCATCCATCTATCCATCAAGCTCAACCATATGATATCACGCACCACTCCTCGACACCATTACATCTTTTAATGCTGACGCACACATCACTGTATAGGATAGCAGCATGTATAATGTATACCTCACAATTCATAGACGTCTCGCACGGATCGATGTATGCCTCACTGCCTTATCACCGAAGTGCACCACAACAGCCCCAAGAAAAGCAGTCTCAGATACCCAAGTGCCATATGCAACTGTGCGCACGTTGTCCATGTTATCGAGAGCTTGAGCCGCATGACGGCCGAAGGAGGAACGTCGGACGGCGAGAAGAGCGAGACGCCGAGCCAGGTGACCGGGTGATGGCCGCGGGCCGAGGGCGTCGCAGCCAATTGTTGGGCGTTGCCGCTGACGGCGTCGCGGGTCGTCCCAGGTTGTCTCAGGCGTCCATCTCTGCACGCGGCCACGGACGCTGCTGCTCTGCCTCTCAGGCTTCGATTCGTATCGGACGGCGCAAGTGCTTCCTTGCTGTTCCTATCTATGCTCAGAACGCAAACTTTGTAATCTGGTGAGTGCTTTCTAATGTCGGATGGGACCTTGCGCGCGACGGCGGACTGTGCTTACTCCCTCTTGCTCTCTTTCCCGTAATCGTCCGCGATGGCAGAGTCGTCCTTCCAGCACAGGCAAGCCGATTTTCCTGGGACTCGGCGGTCTTACCCCCTCTTTAGGCTCCCACCGCTGACGCAGACTACTACTATTGGCCTTCCGACGCTCTCTCTCTCGGTATCACCCCTTTCGACAGTTACGAGCCAAGCCTCCGCCTCGTCGCAGACTCCTCCACCTCCGCCAAGCAGCTCAAGCTTGTTGACCACGCCCAGCAGCAGTATGTCCGGTGGGTCAGTCCCAGGATCCGTCTTCTCAACCCCGACGAGTAGTGGGCCAACAAGCTCGCCCACCGCTGCGATTACTTTCGCATGGTCTTCGTCTTTGCCGCAGACCTTTGCACTGTGCTCGAGCCCCACGATCACCTGGAGCTACTCAGGTCCGCAGGAGTCGCTGGAGTTCCTCGTCACTTCGAACGTTTCGCCACACACAGACTCTGGCAACACAGTCCAAGGGGGCCCCGCCAACATCATTATTGCTTCTGCCATTGACGCTACTTCCCAAACGTGGAACTGGTCCCCGGTGAATATCAGCACGGGGCAGTACACTCTTGAGGCACTGGGGAGTGGGGTGCAGGCGATATCGTCAGTGTTCACTATCATCGCCGGTGAGGACACATCTTGCCTCACTGCTTCTTCTTCCTCCGCCTCCACCTCTGGCGCCGGTTCCACATCGGACACGAGTTCGGCTACGGGTTCATCTCCCTCTCCTACGTCATCGTCGACCGCGCTGCCCGTCCACGCCGCAGCGTCCGGGAAGTCCAAGGCTGGCGCGATTGCTGGCGGCGTTGTCGGCGGCGTCGTGATAGTCGCGGCGGCGTTGGCAGCATACATCTTCTTCGGCTTGTGCCGGCGGTCTCCCACCCGTTCCCGTCGTCGGGCCATGGACGGTTCTGCACCCCTTGGCAAGTGGGGCGGCCTCTCGTCACGCGATTCTGGCATGGACGTCTCTGCACCTGTCGTGGCAGGCAAGGGCGCCGTGGTAGCCGCGCTCCCCCACAAGCACACACGCGCAACGTCCGAGTCCACCAGCGCCAACCTCTCCCCTATCTCAAGCACAGCCCACGGCCACCTATCTTCAGCCACGACCCTCGCTGGAGTCGAGGAAGAGAAGGCGATGGGATACGGCAAAGGCTACGAGTACATCGAGTCCGTGCCTCCCTTGGCCTACAAGGGCAACCGCCGCCGCTCTTCCGCCTCAACTTCCTACCAGGGCCAACTGACCCCCATCGAGTCCATCCCGGAGCCAAACCCCTCCGCAGGCTCGCAAGGCCGTGCCCGATCCAAGTCGGCCAGCCAGTCCCACCGCGCGCTCGCGCTTGCCAAGCTTGACGGCGGCAGTGAGTCCACCCCCGTCTCCCCGCGCAGCACGCGCCCTCCTGCGGTGTCTCGCCGGTCCATCGACGCGACTCCGGTAGGTATTCCGGCCAGTCCCCCGTACGAGATGGGCTTCCTGCCCAGCCCCATGAACCGCTCGTCCTCGGGAGCTGGCCATAGCGGTCCACGCCGTGCTGCGCGTAAGCCCGTGCCCGCGCTCAGTTCCGCTGACACGCTGCCGTCTCCGACGAGCACGGCGACCCCGACCGTCCCCACCGGGGCGAGCGTATCGCGCGGCCAGAGCCTCGCCAGTACCGCCACAGCCACAAGCTACCGCGCACCCAACGAGGCACCGGCGCATCCGATGTACAGGAACGACTCACAGTCGAGCACGAACCTCCGTGCGCCTGCTGCTGCCCCCTCGCGGTCGCGCTCCCGCGAGGACCTGGAGGCGGCCGGGCTGGAGCTCCCGAGCTTGAACCACAAGTCGAGCTTTGGAGACAGGCCTGTGCACTACCTCATCCCCGATCTGCCCCCGCCCCCGCGCAACTAGGCGTTAGGCCTTGTCGCGTGTCTTCCGCGTGCGAGGGGACGGAAAATGTACCACTAGCGTCGGTGAGTAATCGCTGCCGGTTATCATCGCAAGTAGAGGGATGGCTAATGATGTGATACGGACGCGCTGCACGTGCTGCCAGTCTGTACACCTATGATCGTCGCCACACTACTGTCGTCGCTCGCTGTTCCGTTCTCTGTCGTTCCTGGAGGGAGGAGGGCTGTTTGAAATTCACATGTGTTGTGTTTGGTACTTTGATTGGTGCTCTCTATCTCTCAATTATGCAGTTCGCTTCTCCTGGTCCACTACGACCCTCCCCATACGCTTCACCTTCTGCTCTTGTATTACTCCAATCTGCCTCAAAACCCCTGCTCACCAGACTATTACTTATCACGATACATTACGGACACTTGCGTTGATGACCCCATCCCACTAGTCAACTCTTCGCAGCTCGCTCTTCGGTACTCTGTACTCGGTACGAGCCAGGCTGCGCCTGTTCTTGTGACGTCCCACTAAATGCCACGTCTATTGTTACACCTCCATCTTCCATCAAGCGCTTTTCCATCGTGCTTGGGTGAAAGTCCGGTGCATCGGTGTAACTAAGATTACTCCGGGAACACCGAGAGCTTAAGCTACACGTAAGGTACACATGCGACCCATGCCAGTCTGGCAGCAGCATGACATTTATCGACCAGGCTCTCCGACGGCAACAGCACCAGAGGGAGGAGCCAAAGCCAGCATCTCCAACATCTGCCGCACCACGTCCCGCATCTTCGCCCACCCCCGCCCCGCAGGGCCCTCCGCGCCCTCCTCGATGCCCTTGCCCAGCTTCTCCGCGGCGCGGCGCACGCCCTCGTCCGCGCGCGCGATCTCGCCCTCCGCGCGCTGGCGCTCCCACCACTCGCTCGCCGCGCCCCGCAGCGCGGGCTGGCGCTGCATCGCGGCGTGCACGAAGCGTGCGGTGGAGAGGCGCTGGTGCGTCTGGGATAGGCTGAGCTGCGCGGCGGCGAGGATCGGGACTGGGGTCGGGTGGAGCGGCGCGCGGGGGAGGAGGCGGATGAGCAGCGGGAGGAGGAGGAAGAATGCGTGTCGCGCGAGCCAGAGGTTGTCGTGCCACTGTGGGGAGGGGTGGTTAGTGCGGGGAAGGGTGTGGTATGACGAGAGACGCAAGTGAGAGTCGATCTGCTCGGGGTGTGCGAGGCGGGGAGCGAGAGCGACGTTCCTCGTTCCTGAATGCGCGGGCGTGCGGTTGCATGACACGCATGGAGGCGACGATACCCCGCAGCCAAACCATTCCCGAGGCACACCGAAGATCCGTGGACGTCCTCGGTGAGGGTTGGAAGCAAACCATAGGCGCAGCGTTGCTCCCTTCCTGGCTTGACGGCGTCCCCGCACAGCCCGCCACGGAACAAGATGCTCCGAGCATTGTCCAAGCATGACGCAGCGCGCACGTAGAAAAAACAAATGCGAGACTCACCATGAATACATTCATGCCATCGTGCGGTATGCGGATAGGCGTCGTAGCGAGCCAATAGCCCTCGAGGATGAACGCACCGACGATGACGCCTACGGCATACGTCCGCCATTTCTCGTGGCCGCTCCCGCTTATCGTCATAATTCCTGCGACGGCGCACTCCCTGATGTACCCGAGGGCCATGCGAGGCGCCGTGAAGATGGCGTACTCATCGAAGGTGGTGCAGTGTTCACAGTCCTGTATGACCGACTGGCCGAATCTGCGACAGGCACAGCCGTGTTAACGCGCGTTCAACGAAGGAATGGGCGGAGAGCGACCTAACGTAGTGGGTGCGCGTATCGAAAGACGAGAGACGCGTCAGAAGCGAGTCGAGCGGACGAGGGAGGGTCGCGTCTTGGGGTAGACCGGCGCGTTGCAGGAGGACGGCACGGATAGTCTCCGAAGGGGCAGTCAAGGGTATTTTGAGGCGTTGAAAGATGTTCGGTGGCCATCTTACGAGAACGGTGTAGAGTATAAACAGCGAGTGCAGGATGAGGACCGCTGAGAGAGCATTGTCCAGCGAGAGACGGGTAGACTGGGGCTGCCGACGGAACACGAGGAAGGTCGGGATGAGTATGCAGGCAGCAAGGACTAGGAAGGCATCCACCGACACACTAATGAGTGGCATGACCGCCGGATGCCAGCGACAGGACGGGTGCCCGTGTTCGCAAGGGGTGGTAGTGTGACGTTCTCGTTGGAGACAGCTCTGGGCCTGGACCACGTTCGTCGCGGGCGCTTGAATTACCTTTTGCAGACGTCAGTTCCGCGCTTCTCTGTCTCGTGCCACCACCATCTCGTCGATTCTCTTACGCTGCTCATTGCTTTGCGCCCCGAAGGCCATGGCATACCAGGAAAGACACATCTATCTCAAAGAGAGGGGTAAAGCAGACTTGTTGAGAAGGCGCACGTACGCTTTGACCGGCTGAACAGGTATCCACCTCATATCTTCCGGATCCGAGTTGGGGCACTCTCACCTAGGTTCAATTGGCGGCTGACCTATCGTTGGGGTCAATTTCTGCTCTTTGTAACATGTGTTGCTCTAACACAGTCATTCAACGCGCAGATCGCGTTCTCCAATAGCGGACGAACTGTCAGTTCTCAACGTCTCAACTGAAGTGTGGCGATCCCCATCCAGCAGCAGAAAACACATTGGTTGGACTCTAGTGCAGATTGCTGACAGTGGCGCATGTGGTTCTGAATGCTACATATGACCTGCTTTGCGCAGAGACCTGTCAGAACGGTAAACCACTGACCTTCTTGTGGCGAATCTAAAGAGGAAGAAGTTCTTTTCAGGCCGTCCTTCTTAGCATCGGTAACATGGTTTGCGCATCTTCAGGTTTCTCCAGGCTTTCCATCCCTCCGCAGCTCTACAGAGGATCGGCCCCTAGATTGGTGGAACGTGGGTCGCGCGGATGTTGCTTACTTGCATACCACCATGGTGATTCCGCACACCATCCTCGCTCAATTCGTTGCGCAAGCAGGTGATCTTACCCTATATCAAATACATAAGGTGCGACCGTTCGGATAGCATTCTACTATTGCCAGATCCACTAACATGACGGATGCGCAGTACATACAGAGTAAGCCTCCAACCGAGTTTTACTTTCATCTTCCTGAGACATCGTACCCAGTGAGCGTGATTACCTGCTACGTGAGTAGACTTAACTTCCCAGATTTCTGAAACCGCTCAACGAGTTATAGGTGCTTGAGGCCATCGCGACGCTTCCTGATGAGGTATGTCGTCAATTCCTGCCCCGAGTTAGAGTTGAGGAGTAATGTCTGAATAGATGAGATATGTGTGGCCATCGGACTGGAGCCTCATGAAGATGATATATTTCTTCAACAAATATTCCCCTTTTGTGGACATAGTGTTGTTGGTCCAAGGTGCGTCGAGTTTGCCGGCATTGCATGTTTTGGACTGAAGCCTGTGCAGTCGATATAACGTCTCATGACGCTGACGTCGGTTTTCACCATGACCAACCGTGGTCCAGTATTGACTTTTCACCGTAGGCATGCGCGCTGCAGTTCCAGCTCTTAACATGTGAGGGGATGCGCGTGATATTGACGCTTCTCGACTAAAATAGCTTTGCATAGACTGGTTGATCGTCGGCGTGCTGTGTTCCGAATGTGAGCCCGATACGCATGAGCCTTGTGTCAGCAGGGCTAAGTGATAAACATTGTGATATTGATGCAGTCATCCTGATCGTTCGAACATATGCTCTCTGGGGTGGCGACCGGCATATCCTCTATTTCAATATCTACGCCGCCGCTCTAATGACAGTGAGTAATATTCATTTCTCAATAGGTGCTATGTCCTCACATGGCCACACACCTACTAGCCTCATGCTTTTTATGTCGCATATGACATGCTCCGCATCAATCTCAAATCGTGTAAGGCTTGCCTGCATGAAGCGTATTCGCACATCTCACTTTAGGAACAGTCGGGGATGATGCACAGATGGTCCGGATCCTCGGGTGTATGCCTGCAATCAATGACTTCGGTGTCTGGCCAGCGTTCGTATACATGATTTGTGCAGAGCTGAGTCCGTAGCGTGCTTATGAGACGTCGACGGCGAAGCTGAAACCTGTTGCAGTGGTGGTCCTGTCGACACTGTTGAAGCGCTACTTGGATCATGCGTCGTTTGGTACGCTCAGTGCTTCCGTCGTGTGCGCTTGCTCATCGGCTTCTTTGACATAGCCGATGGTAGCTCCCGCTCGAGCATTCTCCTGACCACCTTGTACCGAGATGGTGAGCCAATGGTCTCGCGCTTCATGGATAAGGCATGCGCGGATCCTTGTATTCACCAAATTTCGCAGGAACCTGGTTTTGGGCAGTCGTCCTCGGTGACGCTTTCGTAGCTCATAGGCGATAGCCTGGCTGACAAGTCACTCGTGTCCTTATCAATCAGTTTTCTCCGTTGTTAACTTGCTCATGATGTTCCTAGCACCCGTGAGTAGCACCCCTTTCTATCTCAGAGTGATGGGAAGCTGACGGAGGGCCAAATAGAGAGAGCTCAGCTTCTTGCTGCAGGAGTGCGTTTTCTGGACAAGAACCCGCCACAGCGTGTCGATTCTCCGCTCATCGCTCTACATAGGTCGTTGCGAACTGTGCATAGTGCTTTATGCACTCGCGTGCTTCTCAATCTCAGGAAAGCCGCTGCGAGCACGTCGTATCTGGGAGTTGGCGAATTCACGGTGAACACTATGGCGTTCGAGTCGCTTCCTATGTTTGCACCCTTGGGCGAGGAGGAATTTGAGATGGAGATTGTTGAGTAGAATATGCATTGCGAGTGACGAGCGGCTTGTAAAGCGTCATAAAGGAGGTCTGGCGAGGAACAGGGCAAATGTTGTCGGTCGAGTGGACCAGTGCACCACTGCCCTTTGAGGCGCTTTTGTCGCCTGTTGTGGACGCTTCTCTTTCTCGTACTACGAGCATCATCGATAATCATCATTTCTGCCCATACAACGAATTAGATCATTCCTGATCATCCCATAAAACGATTAGGGAAGGATCGACTGGGTTCTGGATAGTCTCGACTTTACAAGTATCTGTCGTACGGCTCCCCAAGACGCGCTCAATTTGGTTTCTACATGGGGTCATTGCAATCAAGCACGTGCACCTGTGGCCGATCGAAGAAACCTATACATCATGCCAGTGATACTTCCTGCGAGTTGCCCCGTCGGTGGCATCGCACGGCATACGTTCGGTACTCTACTCCGATGGTCTCTGTGGCTACTGGCGTTCCACGGTATATTGATCCATTGCGCCAAGTCAAATCGGGCGTAAAGCACCGACGGCGTCCTTCAAAAGCTTCAGATCCTGGACTGTGCCTGGAACGCGGTGCGGTGCGAATTTAGATCCGCATATCTGCATGCTTCCCGTCTTCTCTCTGTGTCTGTGGCTGCACTCTACCATAGCTCCAGAGTGCTCTCTGTTAGGCCCCCTATCCAAACAGGCACCTGTTGAGAGCGCTCCTCATTCCTGACCTTCTAGATATCGTGCCGGGCCAATCGGTTGTCTAGACGTTCCATTCCTCTTATTACATGGCTTCCGATTTCGGAAGCAACTTAAGTTTCGTGTCTTCTCTGGACTCTATCCCCCCAACGAACATCTGCTGGCTCTCCATCTTTCGCACCACCCCGATACAACGAGGTGCCAGCGACATGTCTCGAATGTTCTCGCATGCCAATGCCAACCTCACTATGTCGGACGGTGTTGAACTCGCTTCGCTGATCGCTCAGGCAGGCAATTTATCTTTTTATCAGCTACATAAGGTGCGACTGCTACCTGAATCGAACCGCGCGTGTTTCGCTGACATGCTGAACTGCCAGCACATCCAGAGTAGGCCCGTTAGCATGATCTCCCTATCAGTTTGCTGAGACACCGTAAGCAGCTGGTGCTATTACATGTTGCGTAAGTAGAGGTGGTCAACGTGCTCCATAGGATGTGCTGAACTAGTTTCAGATACTCGAGATTGTAGCCACTCTCCCGGATGAGGTGCGTTGACCAGGATGTCCTGGGAGGTGGCGCAATACTTGATGAGTAACGTTTTGTTAGGTTATGTATATGTGGCCATCGGATTGGAGCCTTATGAAGGTGGTTTATCTGTTCAACAAATACTCCCCTATAATCGACATAGTCTTGCTGGTCCTACATCAGCAAAACGTCAGGGTCTTAGATCTGAACTTAGGGTCAAGACCACGGTCTTGGTCCCAAGTCCGTGGTCTTGGTCCCAAGTCCGTGGTCTTGGCCCCAAGTCCGTGGTCTTGGCCCCAAGTCCGTGGTCTTGGCCCCAAGTCCGTGGTCTTGGCCCCAAGTCCACGGTCTTGGCCCCAAGTCCACGGTCTTGGCTCCAAGTCCATAATCTTAGAGCCAAGTATAAGATCATAAGCTCAAGTCCGTGGTCTTAGCATTCAACAATTTAGAGGACTTGAGTTCAATGATATATTAGAAGGCAATTTCATGTGCATGATGGTCAGCATACTTATTTACATAGAAGGCAGTAAATGCATCTAAACTATCAGTATGTTTTAGCCTAGTGGGAATAGGATCTTTACCAGCAACACCAATAAGGTGTGCAGCCCGTAGAATGCAGTCAAGATGGACAACAGACACAGTCTGATGTCCAAACTCATCCACCTGAGGTTCCACTATCCACATCCCTGTCTCTTCACATGGATGATCAGAAGTAGGCAGAAACCAGGAGACAAGAGCACAAGAATACTCCACACCATCTATGTCCTTGAAAGAAAACAGAAGAAGAACACGAGC